ACCGAACCACTATAAATCTTGTGTCATTTACTTTACTGTTTTTATTTTTCCGCATTTTATTTTTGATTTTAAAAACTTTGTGGTTGAAAAAAGTTTTCTACAAAAACTTAAAAGAAAATTTTCATTTCAGTTCAACATAAATTTAAAGAGGGTTTAAATTTTGTTTTTAAACTACCAATTCACCCCCCCTCTTGGTAGCCTTGGGACATTAACTTAGGTTTAATAACCTATTTACTAGATTCAACAGGGGGGGGGGGTGAATTGGTCAAGTTTTGCTAAGCAAACATTTGTAATAAAAATAAAAAAATTTTGTGGCGAGAACTACCAAAAGGGCCCTTACCCATAAAACATGAGTTAAAGAAGAGGCTACAGCAGGTCATATAGAGGTTAACACCACCATCTTGAGAGATTTAGCTTGAGATATAAAAGAAGACCAACATCATCCATTAGCCCAACTAGGGGCGCCTATCTGGTGGGGTCGAGTTATGATGAAGTGGTGGAAATAGGGTAATTTTTTTAAAATAAACACTATTAATCATTTAATTAATAATTAAACCAACAAAAAAAATTAGAACTCATCAAGGTTGAAAGATTAGCGCTTAGTTGATGAGAGCAGATGATTCAAGAGGGAAGCACTTAGTTGAAAGAAAGTTTAACGCTTCCTATTGATGAGAGCCTTGAAGTGAAGGCAAGATGTAATGAAAATTTTCAGTGTGTTATGCATTTCTAGAGCGAAGATGAGGATTGCTTATTGTGGCATATGCATGATGAAGTTATGAAAATAAAGCTGTACAGGGCCAATGATGATCTTAGAGACATGGGGTGGAGATACTTAAAGTAGAGGTTCATGGAACATGACAAGCATTTGGTTTCGCTAGACTTTCTGAAGGTCCAAATTCATAAAATCGGGTGTAATAAAGAAGGTTTAGTTGAGGTGGTCATTAAAAGGTCAATAGTTGATGTAGATCATTGTATTTTGTACCATATGGTATCATGGATTCGATGAGTTTTTATTATAATCGTATAAAAAGATGATGAGAGATGTTATGCAAGAAAAGTAGTTTTTGAATGGAGCAGATTGACAGTTTATTCAGCTTCAGTTTGAGTACAACTTTTAATATTGTTTAACTCAAACACAGCACCAAGCTTGTATGCGCATGCTAGTTAGGAATATGTAACATTATGCTAATGTGCTAGTATTATCTAAATTTATTAGGTTTATTTTATTTGTATTGTCACACATGTTTTATGTTATTTTTTCTTTTGTGTTCAGAAGTTTATTGAATGAACGGTAATTTATCGTGATTTGGAAAGTATTGGTAAGTAGTTAAAAATAATTTTTTTACTTCATTTTTGAATTAGGCATCTACAAAATAACATTATGGCATAATAACCAAGAGTATGTAATGGAACAAAAGGAAATAAAATAAAATGCAATATGTTATCTATAACAGAGGAGTACAATTTTATCATCATAGACATAAGTAAAACACCTAAAAGGTACATAATACACATCACAAATGCCTCCTAAAATGCCAATTTGGTATCACATTAGTGCCAAGAGTAAAATGCTGAGGTGTACGCAATGACCTAGTACATAGGTGGTGCTTCTCCTCCTACGTAGTATCAACCTGACTGGTGGAATCATCACCCAAGGATGAGGGAACAAAATCTGATGTGAACCTTGAGGGAATGTCTGGCAGTGTAGGAAATGTAAGGTTTCCCTGAGAGGGATCCTCATCAGCATACAAAGATGGGCCAACACCATATGGATATGCAGTAGCATGTGGTTGGACTTAGGATTCATTTGGGACGCCGTTTTTGTTACTGTACAACAAGAAATGCAACCGAGTTGGGGTTTGGGGTGACGAGGTCGTGCTCCATTCTCAAACTTCTTACGTCCTGTGGCTACTTTTCCCATCTTGAAGTAGACTTCTGCTTTCGTTGCTTTTCGTTGTTTGAAGGTAAGAGGAAGACATAAATGCCCTGTGAAATATCCTGTATCTTCTTCTTCCTCATGAAGTTCGACACTTCATCCATTTCTCGCACATGACCGCTTGATCGATATTTTGATGAATTGATGGAAAGAATCATTTCAGAAAAAGAGGCGATAAGAAAAATCTGTCTGGGTGGAGATGGCGATAAGGACTTTTAGGGTTTAGGCTGTAGAGAACGAAGCGATGGAGATCCGGTTAACAAGAAAGAACATGAAGAGCTTGGGTTTGAGGCAATTAGCTTTTATAAAAGAAAAAAAATTGAAATAAGCTTCTTAATACAATCCATGTCGATTTATGTAAAGAACTGTTTGAAATCCAAATGTGAGAGTTTCATCAGTACATGAACAAAATTCAGAGGAGGCAAAAACAATAGAAGCTTGTTTTGAAAAGTCTACAGAAAAAGGAAAGCACTTCATAAATTTAAGTAGAGACTTCAATCTCAATAGGCATAGTCAATGATGGAGGTCTTCCATACTCTTCTTCCTCCTTGGGTGGTTAGATTGTAACAAAATTAGGTGAAGGAGTGGTCGGCCTCTGCTTGCCTTTGTGATCCCAGTCAAACATAATCTTCACTTTGATGGCAAGAACTCCATAATTATAACAAGAAATAAATAAAGGTCAAGGCTAAAGATCAGATCAAATAACATTAAGTGAAGCATCTCCAGTTCCAACATTGCGTTTTGGAAGTTGAGCTGCCAAGGTTTCGTAGGCATCAGCTAGTTTTTTTTTTTTTTTTTTGAGAACCTTAGCTAGTATGTGCATTTTTTACTTTTTATTTCAAGAATTGTTTTGTCAAATGTAGTGATAATGTTAGGTTTCAAATATTCGCAGAGTTTTTTAGACATTCATATTTGAACACCAGCATATTTTAATTTTAAATTATTAATTTGTTATTATATACATTTAATTTTTTTTTTTACATTTTACAAGTTTTTTTTTTCATGTCAATATACAAAGGCATCATTGTAATTTGTTCGCATACAGCTGCAACACAACAGCTTGATAGTTATACTATCCAAACAAATATAATGATTTATGTACAACAACTTCAGAAATCAACTTTATGTATAATAATTTCATAGCCTGCTTTGTTAACAGCTATCATCGTTCCAATTTCACACTTAGTCTCCTAGAAGTATCGATCATCATCAATGTACATCTACTTCCTTAAACTGTGGCATAGCTCCCCTATGAAGTTAACATCTTGCTGCATAAGAGTATCTTCAGTCCCTTCGAAATAACACTATAATCTCTTCTCTATCTTAAGAAAAAAATCCCTCTGCAAGTGTATGTGGAATATGTTAGTTTACGTAAGAATAGTAAGTCGTTTATGTTAATATGCAAAGCCGCACATTCCATATGGCTCTAGTGTAGTACTTAGTGGGTTGTTCAATAGGTGACTTCAACATGTAAAATGTAGCCCAAGATCTAAACCAAGCCAAGTATTGCTTCACCATGAAGTCATAGTCACCACCACGGTCAACTCTAGCCACAATGTTTTCTCTCCTACTCTCACACAAGGCTATATATATATGGTAGTATAAAGCCCAGTATGTGTCAGCCTTCCATGCCCGTCAACTCTAA